TATCTATACTTTGTGTTTTACTAAAATACTCCCTATATTTTGCAATCTATTTACTTAATCGACCTTTCATTAGATGATAATTGAAAATTACAGGTTGACCCTAATGTCTATTTTGAATAAATTTAATCAAAAGAAAATAAAAATAAAAATACTGGTTTTGCCCTTAATAAGATACGGGCAACCACTTTGTGTGGTTCCATTTGGTCAATTTTGTTTTCTGTACAAAAAAGTTCAGGGATACTTTTGAAATAAACAATCATGGGCCCATGCCCTTTAACATTTTTCACTCAATTTAGGTGATCATGTTACTATTTTTAGGCAAAATAAACATTTCTTAATAGAAGGTCAATTAAGTGAATAGGTTGCAAACTACATGGGGGTGTTCTAATAAAATTAACTATAGGGTAGATTTATGTAGATCTGTAAAACTATAGGGGGTGTTCTAATAAATGATCCATTAATTAAAGGGCTTTTCACCAAAAAATTAATGATGTCTGAGGAATTGACAAAATCGGATACGTTTAGAAATAAATACAAGGATTAAAGTATCGGTATCGGGTATCGTATCAGACCACTTGGATACGGATACGCTTTGGAAATACATGGATACGGATGAAAAAACATGGAGACGCTTGTATACATCAGGAAATGCATATAAATTCCATAAATATATAAATAACATTACATTTTAGGCTAAAATAGTCAAAATTAATGCATAAATGCATAAGAAATGTATATTCTAATAGTATTTGTGAATAAATATATTACAATTAATATAGAGGGATGCATAGAAATCATACAATTTTTATTGATAATGTATTAATCTAGAGTCCTAAAATATATTATATAATTTTTCATAAATTAATACATGTACAAAGCTATTATTTATTTTCAATTGAAGTTCATGCCACAAAACACATGCAACTATTATATGTAATTATTATATCAATTGTTTTTATTTTTATATTTTTACATTTTAACATTAACTGAATAATCAACTAAAAATTAATTCTCAAATGTTTGGTAAACAATAAAAATGTTATTATAAAATGTAATTAAAATATCACTTAATAATTTATAAAAATATATAATCTTATATTAAACTCTCTCAAAGATACTAAAATTTCTAAGATACATATCGTATGCAAATTCATAATTTTTAATTACTAAACTTTTTATATTATTATTTTTATAATTTTATGAAATAAATTGTCATTTTTTGTAAATAATAAATATATTTTTATTTAATGCAAATTAAAATATTAATTAATAATTTATAAAATTTTTAAGATACATTTCACATTCAAATTTATAAATTTTAAGTACTAAAATTATYATTCTATTATTAATATTTTTATTTATATAAATGTTTTGAGATTAAAAACCTCTTTTTGATATAAATGCGGATTTGAGAAGTTATTTACTCCWTTAGTTTATAAAATATTAAATTTAAATAATATTATTTAATCTTTACTTACAATTATTGAAAACAAATATATGTTATTTGTTAGGATTACATGTAGGCATTAATAAAGAATTATTTTGTTTCACTTTTCAACAAGAGCTAATGGTTGCCTTAGTGGCATACAGACGTGTTCAAGTCTGCGCGTAGTGACTTGGGTTCAAGCCTTGTCAGATGTGCAAGCGTGCGAAAATGCGAATCACCCATGTATCAGTTCGTATTGACGCGTATCGATCGATACAATATAATACGGTCTGATACTGATGTGTATCTCTTCGATACGAACGATTCAGAGGATACATACCTGTTCGTAGTGTTTCCCATATCTCTTATGACCGATACTGATACAATACGCCGTATTTAAATCCTATATAGCAAATGCGGTGAGCGGAACAAAAAATTCACKTTTTAGACTAAATTGCCCTCTCTTGTTTTACTTTTCTTCTGTCTTCTGATTCCTCAATATTCTGTTATTCTTCTTGTGAACTCCGAATGAAGGAACCTTGGTGAGAAAAGTACTTTAGCAAGCGTTAATAAATAAAAATAGGAAAGATATCCCCATTATGAGAAACCAGATAAGGAACACATAGCTTAGTAGATCTGAAGCTATATAGAGATAAGGATAAAGAAGATCCCGAAATGCTACTTGAAGGTGTCGCCATGGCTGGACTTGTTGGTTGTACAGATTTGAGATAAAAGAGATGGTACTGTACATGTTTTCTCCTCCTTAGTGCTTTTTCATAGGGATGCAAATGGATTGGATTGGATTCGAATCAGGGTATATTTGAATCCAATCCGATATTATTCATGTTGGATCTGAAGATTAGATCAGATCTGATAGGACTTGATCTGAATTTAAATCCTATTGAGTCTTTTTTTTTAATTAATAAATTATTAAAAGAAAAAATAAAATATACCAATTTAAATAAAGAAAAAACAAATATTTTTAATTATTTTCACCATATATATACATATTTTTTATAAAAAAATAATTAATATAATAAATTTACAAAAATACAATATAAATAAATAATATATATATATATTATATTTATATTTATAAATATATAACACATTGGATCAAATCTTCTCTGATCGAATAAGGGGAAGGGGGGTGAACAGAACATAATACAATAGCTTAGATTCAACACATGGTTGTAAGAGATGAAGAATCGTCGTAAGGAACAACCATGAGTCTTGGATCTGACCGACGAGACCGAGGCATCCTTTTTTATGAATAGCTTGTTCAGTCTCCGGGCTTGAGTAGAGTTAGCTACAGGACTTTGTTTAATGTTTCCACAGGGCTAGCATCTGCGTTAATGAAGGGAAGTTTGAAAACTTTGAGAAGAAACTAGAAAGTGCTGAGCAAGGGTGCGAAGAGTGATTTGATGAGAGAGAGTGTGTGTGGGAGAAAAGTAATTCATGAAATGGATTTTTTTCATTAAACAGGGGCAATTTGGTCATAAGATGGATTTTTTCATTCCCGCCCACCGTTTTTACAATTATTTTTTTAAATATATCTGGTTTTGTCAATTCATCATTAACTTTTCCGTAAAAAGCCCTTAATTAAAAGTCTAATATCGATTATATTTTCAGAATCAAATAAAGGTTAAAATATTATCGCCAACTACTTCAGTTCAGTTCATAGGTGTATTGCATCACAGAGCCCTTCAATCACAAATGGCAAAAGCTATGCAAAATGCATGGGTTTATGGATAAGGATGACCAAAGCCGCATTAGGGCTGAGTTAACCCTAACCTAATAATCTGATGCAATCGGGTCAGTGAGGGTTTACCCACTTAACCGACCCACTTACATTTACATCTTCCGTCTTTTTGGTGTAACTTAGATTGGCCCATGATAGCATCTTACACTGCTTCGGGTTGGACCGAGTTTATTCGAATTTTGACAAAAGCCCAACCACCGAATCCGCCCAAGTTGCACCCTATTTTAATTAATTACAAGGGTAGCAAATGGCAGGAAATTAATAGCTGATGACAAGGACGGTGTTTTGATATTTGAATGGCCATGCCCCCTGCAGAGCTTCGGTCAGTGTAAAGCCTGTTCGTGCTGTTCTTATGGCCTTGCATTAGGAATATTTCTATATTTGTGTGGAAGATACTTCGAATGCAAGGTTCCAACGGTATGAGACACGTTTGAACAGCTCTAATAGAAATATCTTCCCATAAAATAAAACACGTAAGTATGAAAACAATACAAGGCTATAAAAACTGTTTAAACTTGCACTGACTGAAGCTGATGTCGTGTGCATAGACTTGCACTGACCGAAACCGAACTCGCAGAATCAGAAGTCCATCCCTCTTTCTTTAAATCTTGAATTTGTACATGATGGATGCCTRGACCTAACGCAGTTGTTACAAACTTTGGGGTGGACATGCATGCACATGCAATGGTCAATGATACACCAATTCAATATTTGTTGGGTTCCTAGCGTCTACGTGTTGTATTCCTGGTAACACAAAAATTTGTGAAGAGAATAGTCAATTATTTAAATAATAAATAAAGTGATAGTCTAAGTATTATTTTTTCGTCCAGGCTCAATTTGATTGCAGTGTGATTTTCATTTGTACTGGTGTAAATGCATGGAAATGCAAATATAAATACTTGAAGGTCTGATCACTTCATTCATTTGGGTCCACATCATTTTACTTCCTATTTGATCTTTAGAGGCCACTGCAGTCTACATTGGAAACATCTCTGGAAATTTTTACTTCTGTGAGTCATCAGTACTGGTTCATTGTCTTTACAGAGATTGTGACTTGGCAAATTGGAGCCACTGATCTCAATATCAGATTTTAAATGTCCATCTTTTAATGATGATTTGGAGAATCCACACTTGTTAGTTATGGACCATTCAACATTTTCTGTTGGCCTATTGAAATTTTGGGAAAACGATTTATCAAGCCATGGATGACATACCGACCTCCATATGGTCCCAAATCCTGCAGTGGCATATTCAGATTTCACTTTAACACAATAAATTTCATTAATATGAGTGGTTCCGATTTGTCATGTCGCCATCAAGTTGGGCATTATCAGAAATCAATTGGAGGCTAACCCGCCCATGCAAAATTTGGATTATAATTAAATTGTGTAGTGTGGATAAAGTTGAATTTGGAAGAAGTTGTAAATGTGACATGACATATTTGAAAGAGTGGAATTATACCAGAGTAAGTGATAAATGATAATGATCTTTCAGATAGATAAATAACTTCTAGGGAAAATTGTCAGGACAAAACGATTATTATCTTATTTACTTAAAAAATAAAATAATATGAATAAATAAATTAATTAATATTAGTAGATAAATGCATTTATCTCATTAAATAATTTATTGAAAAGCAAAAAGGTCTTAATTAATAAATAATTGTTCAAATTAAGGCATCTTACCATGAATCCCCATTTCTCTATATATCTCTCATTAAAAGAGAAAAAAATAACCATAACTATAAAAAAAGGTAAATAAACATATGATCCATTATTTATTTTATCCATATATATCCATTGACCATTGATCTAATTAATTGAGTTATTCCTTTCCATTAGTGATGATGGAAATTAAATGACATGAGAATATATTTCTGATTGATGGTTGAAACCATCTGATAACTTTTTTGACATGGGAACCAAAGATATAGCAAAAGGCATATAAACATGCATTAACATGCCTAAGATCGACGACATTAACATTATATTCAATCAAAGACTGATCAAAGTTGTTGATGAGGATCAATGCTGAGTTGAGGCCAGCTTGGGCACGATAACCGGGAAGTCATCAATCTCATCGGACCAAGCATTCCTGTCCTTGGTGGGATCTACGGTCCTGAGTGCCCGCCACACAGCACTGTTGCACTTAAAACCAGAACCCAGTGCAATCTGCCACACCCGATGCCCCTTCTTGACCCTCCCCTTAGCCTCGGAGTAGGCAAGTTCATACCACAAGGAGCTGCTGGATGTGTTGCCAAACCTGTAAAGGGTCATTCTTGAAGGCTCCATCTGCCAATCCGTCAGATGCAGATTCTTCTCTACGCTGTCAAGGACAGCTCTACCTCCTGCATGGATGCAGAAATGCTCGAAAGCCCGCTTGAAGTCTGGCATGTAAGACTTTATCTTCATCTTAAACACCTTCCTTGCAATCAAATTGGCCAAGTAGAAGAGTTGCTCCGAAGGAGGAAGCACTAGAGGACCTAGCTTAGTGATGTTGGTCCTCAGCGCATCTCCTGCCGTTGTGGCTAGGTCTCTGGAGAGGGTCACACCAACAATTCCAGTTTCGTCTTCTTCCTGGTATGCGGAGCGGTACCCACGCTCCTCCGCACCGTAGTGTGTGCGGAGGGTGTGGAGGAGCTCGTACTTGGCGCGGTGGCGGTCGGACATCTTGTTTGAAAGGAGGACGGCGCCGGCGCCCATGCGGAAGAGGCAATTGGAAACGAGCTTGGAGCGGTTGTTGCCCCAGTACCAATTAAGAGTTATGTTCTCTGTGCTAACCACTAGAGCGTAGGAGTTCGGATGCACCTGTTTATTTGATGCCCAAATGCATGAGATCATCACTTGCTAATTTCTTCTATAATTACTTGTAATATTAATCATTTAAAAACCCAGAAACAGGACTTATTTGGGTCGATTTCACTTCAACAGAACAACAGAATCCACCAAGATAAAAGTTAAAACCAGGCCACCAATAGGTATAGGCTACAAACAAACAAATTTATTGTTGAGCCAACAACCGTTAGAGAGTAAAAACATATTCAGGGACCTGACCTACCAACTTAATTACCAAATGGTTCACTTTTCTTTATAATTCAGAATTAGATTGAACGGTTCCTCGAGACCAACTATATAAATCCGTTCCGGCTTAGGCCGCTTAGTCTAAATACAATCGAAGACAAAGAGTGGTTCGATGGTGACTGTCAATTATCTGAAGGGGCCAATAATACCTCCATTAATTTCCTAATCAGGAACATGGCAACATGGTCTTTATAACTTATAAGCAGAGCCAATCTTGAACCAATTAAACAGGAAACTACTAATAAAGTTGATGAGTTACTGATAATATTGGAGACAGAAATGGGAAAGAGATAAAACGTTAATTTCGAACAAAGACAAGTAAAAAGCTTAGGGTTCACGGGAGCACTGAAACATCATGCAGCAATCCGGATGCTTCTGCCAGTATAGCCTTTCTCTTGGTTGCTATATTTATATTTTTAATCTCTCCCCTTATTTATATAAATATCAGTTGCATGCATCACAGGTGGGTCATCATGAGGTCAGTTGCATGCGTCACGGGATGTGGGCAGCAAATCCGAACTCCATATCGAGTCCTGGTCGATCTTGAGGTCTAAGCAGTTTGTAAGTTTTGTGTTTATGATTGCTCTGCTCTTCTACTTTTGCCTTTATTACCTTTTGGTAGAAAACCATCAATAGTGGCTGAAATGTGTCTTTGTCTGTGTTTCTCACATGAGAGAGAAAGAGAACAGACTTCCAAGGTTTGGACTTTGGACCAAGTGATGAGTGGGGATTATTAGGAAAAAAGGCGTTGCACTAGCACTTAATTAGTAAAAGTATCCTTTTGTTTTCTTCCCCATTTGCTTGATACTAATTGTATAATAAATCAATCAAAATTTTAAAATGGAGAAAATGAAAAAACCTAAAATATAGAAAAATATCAAAATTTATGTGAAAATAACAACCAACTGTATATCGTTCCACAATTTATGTGAAAATAACTCAGTCAAAGTTTGACAGAATTTTGGCTGACTATTGACTCCTGACCATATGGGCATTAGTTTTTTTTTTTCTTTTTTATATGGTGCATGGTAACGTGATGGAATAATGGAGGATGAATTTCCAATTTATTTATATACGTGAAGGACGGAGATGAAAAAAAAAATTGATTTATGCTTAAAGTAATAAAAAAAGCTGATTGGTGTAAGATAAGTAGAACCTCTGTGTATGCAATACATGGCAACTGGGCCATATCATGCACATAGGCACAGCGGATGAAGAAAGGAATACAAAAGGACCTTCCATGTAAAACCACTCAATTGAATTTACTAACTGTACTTCGAAATTTGGAAATCGAACCAACGTTCAGTCTAGTTAACAACTGAGTAAACTTTCCCAAGTTCCGATGGACCAAACAAGTTTCGAAAATTTGGCTCCAATGAAAAAAAAAAAATCATCTAGAATGCCTTTTAATCAGATATATATGGTTAGATAGTAGTTGCTGTGATGAATATCTCTTCATTAAAGATGGTTGTTTGACACGTGAAGTGGCAAACAAAGCAACCGGAACAGCACCTACCTTTTACTGGGAAGAAGAAGGAAGAAAAAAAAAACAGAAAGGCTGAACCTAACTTGTTGATCTGGTTAAGTTTCACGTGGCAAAATATTATAAAAGAAAAGAGAAAATCTTTATTGTCTGTGATTTATTGGGATCACGGTGACCGTTAATTGTATTATTTTAGAGATAAACAACATATAATAAGCTTAAACCAAATGAAAACAGCAAGCAGAATATGCATGAGAGGTTGAGACTTGAGAGAGAGAGAGAAACCAACCTGGAGAAGCTGTTTGGCAAGGTCCAGGGATATAACTCCAGCACTGCAACCCATACCACCGAGGCTATAGCTCCTAATATTACTTCTGAGCTTGTAATGGTTTATGATCATGGCAGCTAGAGAAGGAGTTGGACTAAAGACGCTACAATTGGTAACCACAACCCCAATATCTGAAGGCTTCACCCCAGTCTTTTTCAGGACCTCGTCGATGGCCCCAAACATCACAGTCTCCATCTCTTTCCTTCCCTCGGCCATGCACGGATTGGGTGGCAACATCCATAAGGCCCGGGGGAAGTATGACTTCTGCCCAATCCCTGATTTATCCAAGATTGTCTTCTGGAAATTCATGCTCTCTTCAGAGAACACTCCCAAAAGACCCGAACGCTCCAGAAAAATGGAATGAGGACACCTTAAAGCATCATCTGGCTTGTAGCACGCAAAATCCAGCATAAAGATCCTCGGACGACGATTCACGTAGTGCATGGCAGCGATAAAAATTGCAAGTAAAGAACAAAGCACCACGCTTGGGAGATGAGCAGACACAAAGGCCAAGGCCGGAGCAAGTGGGAGAGAGGTGATGACTTGGGACATTATTCCTTGGGCTATGATTATTGCTGATTTTTGAGTACTACCGGAATTCATCAACTGATGATGATCTAAATTCTAAAGCTTCTCCAGTGATCGATATCAGAGAAAATTGGGTACCCACTTCATGATGCAAAACAGTTTAGCTAGACAAAGTTGATCAAGATGAAGATGCCTTACACTAGGGTTGGGCGTGGGTGTTCAGGTCTTAGGATGGAGTAATGCATGGATTTATATAGAACGTGGTGGGTGGAGAGACTGGTACGTACGCATTACCGACGAAGAAGTAATGAACTTTTGAGTTATAAGAGACCAAGGGATACGTGGTGGACGTTCAGTGGCTGGTTGCAAAACTGAAACGCAGCTCTCACTCTCAAAGAGTCAAGGGGTGTTATCACTATTTGATGAAGTGGGTGCAATAGGAAAATATTATAGAGGGAGGCCGGTGAAACTGAGAGAGTGGGCCTGCTCCTTCACCGCCAGGTATTATGTATTCCGCACGGTTGGGGGCCTTATTTATTATTGCTATTCGGTTGGCTACGTGGTTGAAAAACAGTTAAGTGTAATAATCAAACGAGCTGGAGCTGGAGATGGCCTTCTCAGTACGTAGTTGATGATGAATGAGAGAACTCAGATTCGCTAGCTTAGCTTCTTCTTCTTGTAAGGTCATGCATGTTAATAATTTCTAGTATGCTTTTTATTAGAGCATTGCATTCTGGGGTTGGGGTTGGTTTGGTTGGTTGATCACCAAAATACATATTTCCTTTTACCGCTGGCAATTGCTTCGTCGTCCTGCTAGATCTCCTTTTTAACACAAACCTTGGCCACCAAGATGGTGTTTGGTATTGAGTTAGGTCTGTCTCATCAACTCACATCCTTATTTTGAGGACGTAAAAACTGTAAAAAAGTATAGGCCTTTCACATAGCACATTTGTTCAGTGTGATTTTGTTGGTTTAAAACAAGTAGTAGGTGCGCCACAGCCCACATGGGACATGTTAAATGGAAACGCCACCTTGAAGAAGTTAGAAACCTCAAAAAGTATTTCACCTAAAAGTTACTTTCGCATTACCTGAGGCGGAGGTGAAGGAGGACGATGCAGAAAGTACTTAAATAAGCCCAATAACCAAACACGTTTGATGCTGACGGAAAGTTGATGTTGCATGCCACCAAATCTTATTAGTGAATACACTTGTTGGCAGAAAGAAAAAGGGGTACGTGGTGGAATGGGTGATGCAATGCGTAACATTGATGTGCTCAATCGTAATTGGATACAATTATACACAGCTTTGCGAGCAGGAGCAGCAGGGGAAAGTACTCTAGGCATCCCCTCTTGCACTGTGGCATGAATACCAATAATTGAAGGGAAATTAAAACTATATATATGGGCCGAGAGAAAACAGAAAATTTTTGGTAATTAGGAGAAAAATAAAATTGAAAAAAAAAGACAACTAATATGAGGGCCCTTCAAACCACTCACAAGTAAGGGTGATAATTCATGTTTTTCTATCGTGTTCGTTTATTATGTTAACGTAAAGGTATTCGGATACATGAATCAATGTATTAATGTGATACGATTAATTAATCATGTTAATTTTTTAAACACAAATATAACTTATTTATTATATGTGTAATACAATATAAAATCATCTGCATAACTCATTTATTTAAATAAATTGACACGGCATGATTTTGATACCCATTTAATTCTATATTAGAAGACATATAACCTAAATTAAAACAAAATCAATACAATTAACTTGTTTAAATCAAATAATAATATATTTAAATAGTAAAATAGTCCCACTACTGCCTTTATTCCACAACAATACTTTAGTATTATATAAGTCTATCCCTTACACATTCAAATATAGTCTAAATCTATATTTTTAAATCAAAACTAAATACATACATCCATGATCTAATACTTGGAACTTCAAAGAAATTAATACAAAATTCATATAAAATAAAAAAAAGACATATAAATGTTCAACATTTTTAAAAACCTTTCAAATAATAATGAAATTTTTTTTCAGGTCAGCAACATGTTATTTTCAAATTAAGTTAATCAATCCAAAATTAATATATTTATTAATCATGCTAAAGAGGTAAATACGATTTTGACAGAAACAATGAAAATAGACTCAAATCCACTAACCTATCGTGATCAAATTATGTTCACCATTATGTCAAATATTACCGACTCAAGGACATCGAAATCTCAATTATTTCTCTATGGGTTTCCAACAGGTTGTTAAAAAGTAAAAAAAAAAAGAAATCCCCCTRTCCATGTCTCCAATTTCCGACGGGGAAAGGAATCCCCCTCCATCCTCAACCCTGACGGGGATAAATTTTTTGTCGGAGACCCGAATCCCCGACGGATTAAGAGGTTACAGAGAGATTGAGACTGAGAGAGAGAAAGAGAGAGAGGACTGTTGGGAGAGTTAAGGTTGGCGGCGGTTAGCGATGATAGATGAAGGTTAGAAGGATTGATCACGATTGAAACTCTTCTTTGAGTATCTCTTCTCTATCACTCGAGAAGGCATGAAGCTAGGGTTCTGAGTCTTCTGACGGTGACGGCGGTCGGCAAATCAACGATGAATAATCGAAGATGAAGGAAGACAAAGGCACTCACGAAGCTAGGGTTCACTGGTTTAACTGTTCTAGAGACAGAGTTGAGAGTTCTCGACTTCTCTCTTCTCTTTGTCGAGGATTTTATTTTAATGTTTTACACTTTTATTGTTTTTAAATTTTTAATAATTAATATTTTAAAAACGAATAATATACATACCCCATCTCCGTCCCCGATCCCGCCAAGGCACCCCCCATCCCCCACCCCATCGGATCGGGGAGCCCGGATACCCGTCGGGGACAGGGAAAATTGGCACCTCTACTTTGAAATTTACGACAAACAAGAGCTTCAGTTCATAGGTCGCTCTGCGAATAATCGACAACATGATCAGACAACATCGTTAAAATAGTGAGAATGCAGAGGGCGAGTGTGTTAAAGGGAATTAGAACTTAAACCCTGCAAAGCTGAGTTATTATTATTATTATTATTATTATTATTATTATTATTATTATTTTGTTAAATGGGTTTGGTCATTCAAAGGGTTTTGTCCATTTTTTGTTGATTCTGGGAAGAAAAATCTCCCAACCTACAATATTTCCGTCATTGACGACCTTCGTTTCGTCGTCCATCTCTCATTTCTTTCAACCATCGTTCTCCCTTCGCTTCACGGTGGAGAGGAGGTACGCGTGCGTCGGGTGGATCCAGAACGTGCGCACGAGTGTGTTTAAGTTGGAACGTGTACGGATGGGTTCGTGTTAGGCGGGGGAGTCTGTTGAGCTTTGGGGAAAGGTGAGGTCTATCACAAGTGGTGGATCAACAAGCAAAGTAAGAGGTGCTTCGTGGACCGTGCAGAGTGGTTTCATGTGGGCCATTGTCGATCATGTCATGTGATGGCTGGCGCGGGCCCCAAGGAGGAGTTGTGGACCCCAAGGGGAGTTGTGGGCCCAACAGTTTTTCTCCTCTCCTCTCTTGAGGCGGCCGCGTGAGGCGTGATAGTCCCCGCCCGCTCGCGTTTTGGTGTGTTTCTTTTGGGTGGTTCGATCGAGATGAGAGGAAAAGGCTAGGCTGRCTCTGCTGAGTGCTGACACGTGTCTGGTGCTTAACTGTCATTGTGAGGACCTCTTCACCACTCGTTTGACATGTGGAAAACGAAGACGTGGCATGGCGAATTTTAGTGCGTTTCCCTCTCTCTCACTCTCGTCGCTGGCGGGTTTTTCATTGTTTTGGTGACTGTGACAGGCTGAACAGAGTTCAAATCAGCCCCACAATGTCCAACCGTGTATCCGATGATAATACAAAAAATGATGAGGCATTATTCAAAGATGTTCCCAATACACGGCTCGAATGTGCTGTAGGACGATGTGGGTCACCTCCTTGTGGGGGTTGATATAAATTCGGCAGAACATCGCTGCCGGTTATAGGTCGGGGCTGGAGCCAATCGAGTATGTTGTGCACTCTTGATTCAAACATATGCTCTTCGGCCAGCTTGCAAAAATCGCATAGAGGTTGAGCGAAAGCTAAGCCATCATACAAATTTACTAGTGAAGGGGGCCTTCGTTGCAGGAGCTTGCTCATAAACTATCATGTTTGAGGAGATTTGAGCTCGAGTTTGAACTCAGTTCAAGTCAAAAGTTCGGAAGTTTGAGCTTGGCTACCTTTGATTGCAGGTCTCTCAATTGCCGAGGTGTAAAGCCGAGATTTCCTTCAGCGGCTGAAGTGTCAAGTTGAGGTTTCCCTAGTAGGTGAGGTGTCGAGCTAAGGTCTCCCTTAGTTGACAAGGTGTCGATCTGGGGTCTCCCTCAGTTGTTGAGGTGCTGAGTCGAGATCTCCCTCAATGACCAAGGTGTCGAGCCGAGATCTCCCTTAGTGGTCGAGTTTGGCTACCTTTGATTATAGGTCCCCTAGCAGTCAAGATGCCGAGCTAAGGTCTCCCTCAGTTGGAGAGAGTGGCATTCTTGTAATTTATAAGGAGAGAGAGATATGACATCCTTGTAAGTTGTAAGAAAGAGAGAGAGAGAGATGGTAGGAGAGAGTGCCATTCTTGTAATTTGAAAGAAAAAAAGCAAGAGAGAAAGAGAGTTGGTATGAGAGAGTGGCATTCTTGTAATTTGAAAGAAAAAAAGCAAGAGAGAAAGAGAGTTGGTATGAGAGAGTGGCATTCTTGTAATTTGAAAGAAAAAATAGCAAAAGAGAGAGAGAGAGAGAGAGAGAGAGTTGGTAGAGAGTGGCATTCTTGTAATTTTTATGAAAAAAGGGCAAAAAATATTGTTAGATTTCATTTCCCTCATCCTCAATCCTTCTTACATACACATTTCAGCTTAATATATTTACTAGCGGATGGGACCCTACGTTACAGGGGCTCGCTCATAAACTATTAAGTTCGAGCTCAATTCGAATTAGAGACTTGAGCTTGAGCTCGAGCTCAGCTACCTTTGATTGAAGGTCTCTCAAGGCGTCGAGGTCTCGCTCAATTACTGAAGTGTCGAGATGATGTTTCCCTATTGGGTGAGGTGTCAAGCTATGGTCTCTCTTAGTTGACAAGGTGCTGAGTTGAGGTCTCCCTCAGTTGTCGAGTTGTTGAGCCAAGATCTCCCATAGTAACCAAGGTGTCGAGCCGAGGTCTCCCTCAATGGTCAAGGTATCATCT